CCCCCCCCCCCCCCCCCCCCCCCCCACTTTGCGCCCAGGATGCTTTCTCTTCTAATCGCTGCCTCTTAAAATCTCTAGCTTTAATCCCACCATGAGGCATTCATACTTTCATGATCTTCTTTCCTTTTTAGTGTTTTCCAACTTCCCAAATTATTTGGTATTTACTTTGTATCGATTTTGTAGTTACTTCTCTATCTCTGTGTTGTCTCTCTTGCAGTGGTATGTAAGCAGGGACTGTTTGCATTTTTATCTTTGTAGCCCCAGGGCCTTGCAGTGCCTGGCGCTGAGTAGGTGCTAAGCAAAGGCTTATTTTATTGCTTTGAATTGCAAAGTAGAGCACAGGAGAGACAAAGTACTTTTCAGAGATCTTTTCTTGCTCAAGCCTCCAGGCTGAAGTTTTGTTTGCTAAGTTCAGGTTCAGTAATAACCCAGGGCTGGAATGAAGATGTCAGTACCTTTCAACCACCCTGTACTTACGAGGGGGCTGGCGTAGCTGTCAGTTTGCTTGGGAGGTGACAATGGGGCACTGGCTGTGAGAATTGTACTATTACCTTATAATTTATTTCTTCTTTTTTGAGACTATCTTGGTGGTGTTTCTCCCTGCAGTACCCGGCTGCTTTGACAGGTGTGCTATTTTAGCAAGGGAGAACAAAACAGAGACAAAGAGGTAAAATATCCTCTGCTCCTTTGCTGTCAGGCCTTCTGTGCTCTGTGTGCATGTGTGGATGATTTATTTGGTGCTCTTAGGGAGATTGGGTATCGTTCCTACATTATGCTTGGGGGTCCACCTTATTCAGAGACTTAGGCCTCTGTGATGTGATACAAAGGGTCTTCCCCAGAATATCTTCTTTTCTGATGTCGGAAACTCTACCAAAAGCAGTTTGTTTCTTTTGCTTAAGCATTTCCTTCTCCATTAGCTCTGTTAATAGGCAGATACTTATAGTATAGGAGTTAAACGAGCTGGGTTCAAATTCCCTTTCTGTGGCTTGCTACCTGTGTGACTGAGCAATTCGCTTCAATTCCTTGGACCTCAGTTTCCCCTTTTGTAAAATGAGGGGGTTGAACTAGATAGCCTTTGAGATTCCTTCCAACTTTAGCTCTCTGGTCCTACGTATATCCTCGGACAAGTCACTTCCATTCCCTGGACCTCAATTTCCTCCTCTATAAAGTGAAGGGGTTGGACTAGGTGGTCTTTGGGGTCCTTTCCAGCTTTAGATGATGATATGATCCTTTATGACCTTGGACAAGTTATTTCATCTCTCTAACATCTAAGTGTGGATTGTGTTTATCTGGTGGCATTTCCTTGAGTAGAGAATTGGGTGCTGGGATCCTGGGAGAATTGAGGTGGGGGGGGAGGGAAGGGAAGAATTAAGAGGAAGGAAGGTACTCAAGAGAGAAGAAAGGGCCCGGTTGCTCACCCCACGATTTTGCCCAAGTTAGTCCTTGAATGCCCTCCTGTATGCATTCCTTTTTATTCCTGGTTTTGGAAATGATTACATGAGCAAATGTGTGCCTGGTTACTTTAGGTAGTCAGGTTGATAGATGCCTTATAGATTAATGGTGGAGCTGAGCACCGCTGAGAATTGGACAGTCAAGAGAAAGTATGAGAGGGAGCACTGGTACTAGTTGCTATGTAGATCTCTCTTGATGTTGTCCTTAGGTGAAGTGGGTGAAAGCAAGTATCTGGCTTTGGCCTTAGGCAGCAGAATACATCAGTGGAACAGGTGCAGATTTTAAAACATTCTTTGTACTTTGTTCTCCTTAATTTGAGGTTCCCCTCCAGTTGTGCACTTATGAGCTGATTGAGCAAACAAGAATAATATTATATATAATATATAGTATTATAATAATATTACCTACCATCTGGATAACTGTACTAGGTAATTGAACAGTAGTGATCAGAAGGATAGAAGAGAAGAAACATGCCTGGTCTCCGCTTTGTACTTTCAGAATTTCAACTTGTAAAATAGAGTTTGAAGGTGTTAGCGTTAGACTAGTCAGGTTCTGACATTAAAAAAAAAATTCCAACTGGGTTCCCTCAAAAGTGCTGAGAATTCTTAGAAATACCATTTAGAGTATACCGGGTTTGAGAATGGAAGCTGCTTCTCATTTCAAAGAAGTAAATTAAACTTAAAATGTTGAAAAGGAACGCTAGGTGAACATCCTTTGAGGTTCCCCTCAGAGCTCTCCTTCTGAATTTACAACGCATTTCCGAAAGAAGCCACAGATAAGGCAACATAGTAGTAAAGAAATAACTTAACAAGTATCAAGTAGTGGTTCTGTACTCAAGTGCTGAATTGTGAATTGTGCCTTGAGAGTTCATACCAAACTGCGAATAACTGTTAGATACTTAGATACTTTACTTTTAAGTCTTGTAACTCATGAAACAGTTAAACAAGGAGGTTCTTTGGAAGGTAAGAATTTTGTGCTATCCTCCTTCTCTTCCATATTACCTTGTATCTCTTACACACACACACACACACACACACACACAGTTATGATACATGCTCTCCCCAATAGAATATAAGTTCTTTGAACAAGCACTGTTTGCCTTTTGTCTTTGTACCCCTCCTGCCTAATACATTGCCCGGCACATAGCAGTTGCTTTCTAAATGTTTGTGATAATTCATTTTCTGAGCTGACAGCTGTCACCTCTGGCCCTTCACTTTGCAGGAGTCTTGTCCATTTCAGTAGCAGTCACCCAGCCTGTCTTCCACTTTTTAGCGTCTGGCTAGGGGTTAATCATTTTGGTGCTTTGGCCACCTAGTTGAGGGCCATAATGGCTCTCTCCTTGCAGTCCACGTCTGAGTCAAGTCCTCGGTCTTGGCCCTCCGCCTCAGGCAGGCTGCCCAAGCTTTCGGGTGGGCTGGCCTGGATTTGCTGTGACGCCCACGGCAACCTTGGCCCCGCCCCTGGCCCCTTGTAGACTTTCTTTCCCCATCCCCCTTCCCCCAGGTGAGATGAGTTGGTTAAGGTATGAACTTGCTGAATCGCAAAGTGTGAAAAGAAGGTTTAAAGAAGTGTCGACAACATCCTGTTGATCTGGTACCTTAAAAAAGCCCAACCCCAAACTGTTTCTAGGTGCTCACAGAGCCAGGGTGCTGACTTGTGCGGGGCATCATCATCATCATCAACAACATCATCATCAACATCCTCATCCTCATCCTCATCCTCTCACACCCCCTGGGCACCCTCGCAGCCCCTTGTGCAGGCTACCAGCTGTCTCAGCTTGTCGCTTCTGGCCATGGACTCGGTGACCGTCTATCACGGGAAGATCAGCAGAGAGACCGGGGAGAAGTTGCTGCTTGCCACGGGCCTGGATGGCAGCTACTTGCTGCGGGACAGTGAGAGCATGCCTGGCGTCTACTGCCTCTGTGTGCTGTGAGTATGGGAGGCTGGGGCCGACAGCGGAGGGAGAACCCGTGGGGGGCCCGAGGCTGGGGGGCCCGGCCAGCTCGCCCCGAGGCATGCAGGTGGGAAAAGGGGCCGGGCGATCCTGGCCAGTAGTCCAGTGCAGTCGGCTTTGGAATGCAGGTGGGCGGGACGGTTGCTGCCCATCAAAGCCCTGGAGGCCCCTGGCCCTCGGGCCTCTCTGCCCTACACCCTACAAGGCTGCAGCTTGTGCTAGGCTCACCTGGTGGGGAGACTTGTGGGCAGGCCACTGGGACCCACGGGCCAGGGTTAGTCGCAGGCCTCAGGACCTGGCACCTTGTCCCCAATCTTCTCTCAATTTCTGAAATGAAACGTAACTAGCAGAGCCTCACCGAGCCCCGGGGCTCTGGCCTGGTGAAGCCAGGGAACTTCCTTGAGGGCAACCCTTGCCCCTCTGTAGCGAATCCAGCCCTGTCACTGCCCTCTCCTTAACTCCTCCCAGCACCTTCAGTTTGGCGTAGGGGAATTACAATATTTTTACTAATATTTGTGCTATCTTTGTACGGCTGTGCAGTTGTTTTCTGTTCACCTTCTAGATAAGGCAGAGTTTTGATTGAGTTTTACTTAGTACTTTTGCCAGCTAAGGCAATATAGTCTAACCTCTTTGTTTTAAAGGGGGATTAGAAGACTTGTCCAAGGTCACACGTGTAGTAAGTGGTAGAGGTGTGATTTGAACCCAGGTCCTCTGACTACAGAGCTTCTGACGTTTCCCTTGCACTACAAAGTAAATAACTTGTTGAATATCACAACAGCTGGTATCTGACAAAGTGGACATACCAAGTCAGGCTCTCCAGCTTTACATTGCGCTGTTCAACCCCTCCATCCTCCTTTGCACATTAATTAGGGGGAAAGACTCTACTTATTTGGGAAAATTGCATTATTTGTACTAATACTTATTTGTGTCCTTGGTTTATCCCCATGCTACACTGAGTATTATGAGAGCAGGGGGTGGGTCTTTCTTACCTTTCTTTATTCAAGAAGTTTTGCTCCCTAAAAAACCAAAACTTTGTTTAATGATATTCCTTGGATAGATTAAAACAGAAAAAGTGTTGCTTAGGAGCACAAATTTAATACCTAGCAATAATAAAAGTAACATATTTATGTAGCAATTTACATAATTTATCTCATTTGATTCCCATAACAACCTCAGTAGCTGATGATAATTTGCTTTGTTAGAACACCGAGAAGATTTTTCTAGCCAGCCATATGCTCAGTATTCAAAGCCAAGTGTGGATGCTTCATGACTTGATAAATCTTGAAGTAGTGACAAGTACTATATAATGTATTAGTAAGTCACGTTTATATACTTAAAAATTTAAAAGTTGAACAATTTAATGTTTTTATGAATGATTTAGGGATGACTTTAATTATGCCAAATTTTTGGAGCAAAAATAGAGCAGGAGAGAAGGAAGTATTTTGAATGTAAGTTAGAGATGGAAAGAAGCAGTTATTAGTTTGGATTCATGTAATTTAGAGATGTGTAGGTTGTGGCCTTATAAAGTAAAATTAAATGATTATGAGAACTGGGAGGATACTTCTAGATTATCAGTTCAGAAATGGAGCTGAGGCATCAATGAACAAAACTGTAGAAAAATAGTTGAGAAAATAAAATGATATGAATACTGTTTCCTTTTTCTGCCTTTGGAGAAGATATCCTTGTCCATACTGATCTATAATTATGTTCTCTTTAGCATCCATGCTTTTCAGTTTTAATTGATCAAGTTTTAGTTAGTAGTACTTTTGCGGGCTTAAGGCAGTGCAAATATAATTTTTATTGCCAAATTGAAATTCACAAAACATCTCCCAGAGAGGGACTTACATTAAGCGAAGTGGGCCAAATCATTTCCCCTGAAATATAGGATCACAGATTTTAGAACTGGACGAGACCTTAGAGATTTCCTCCAACTGTCCTCATTTTAAATATGTGGAAACTGGGGCCCACAGATTAAGTGACCAACCATGGTCACATAAGTAGCAGAGCTGGGACCATTGCTCACAAAAAATCTTAATACATTACAGCTTTATAAACAACTTGTCTCTAACCTACTTTTCTAGATTTATTATATGTTACTCTCTCTCATAGACTCAATTATCCAGTCAAATTGGCCCTTTTATTATGACTCACACAGAAGACAGTCTCTGGAACCCATGCCTGGGGAATATTCTCTTTCCTTCCTTCACCTCTTGGAATCCTTTGCTTTCCTTCAAAACTCACTTCAAGCAGCACCTTGTGTAGCAAGGTTTTTTTTTTTTTCCTTTCTTTTTTTTTAAATTTAAATTTTTAGTTTTCAACATTCCCTTTCGTAAGCTTTTGAATTTGAAATTTTCTCTGCCTCTCCCTCCCCTCCCCAAGACAGCATGCAATCTGATATAGGCTCCACATATACATTCTTGAACATATTTTCACATTAGTCATGTTGTAAAGAAGAATTAGAACCAATGTAAGGAACCACGAGAAAGAAGAAACAAAACAAAACAAAACAAAAAGAGAGCAAATACTAGGCTTCGAGATGCATTCAGACTCCATAGTTCTTTTTATGGATGTGGATAGCATTTTTCCATCATGAGTCTTCTGGAGTTGTCTTAGATCCTTAGCAAGGGGTTTTTAACTTTTTTTGTGTGTCGTGGATCCCTTTGGCAGTCTGGTGAAGGTTTTGGACCCCTTTCTCAGATAAATGCATAAAATAAAACATATAAGATTACCAAGGAAAGGAATTAAAATTATGTTGAAATAGTTATGAAGATATTGAAAAAAAGTTCACAGGTGCCTCCCCCCCCCACAATCCCCTTGTATTTATTTTCTATATACCTATGCTCTCTCTCCTAATAGAATGTAAGTGCCTTGTGGGCAGGAGCCATTTCTTTTCTGTCTTTGTGTGGTCGGTGCCTTGCACAATGCCAGGTACAGAGAGACTGGACCTGGAATTGCGGTGTTAGAGGGAATTCCAGACCTTTCTCCAGAGTTGCCTCGATCATCGAGGGAGCCAGGTCCCCATGTGTCAGAGACAAGATGAACCCAATGCTCTCTGGTTTCCAGAGCCAGCCCTCTGTCTCCTAGCTCAGGCTGCCACCTGACTGTGTTGTTAACTTCAAGGTTCTGCAGGTGCCTGAAGTATCTTCTGAGTCGATCTGAGAAAAGATTAAATGGTGTTTATTTAGTGATGTCTTAATGTTAATGTATTTTAGTATATTCCAGTTTTAAAAATTTGAACTCCACATATGGGATTGTAGAAGGAACTTTGGATGTCTAGTCCAAATCCCTCATTTTACAGATGAGAAAACCAAGGCCCAAAGAAGTTAAATGATTTGCCCAAGACTACACAGGTGGTTGGCTCAGCCGGGAATCATATAGGTGAGAGTCATCAGTTAACCAGAATATCATGTTCCCTGTCCATACCAGATATGTAGGAATTCATTGTAAATGTTGTAAAGAAATAGGTCCAAGGGAAAACTTACTCTGATCTTTTTTTAAATTTACATTTGGTGGTGGTTGTATGGTCTGATATTTTCATTTTAGGTTGAATATCTGTGTTTTTTTAAGTAGGAGCAAGAGAAAGATCTTGAGAAAGGTGCAGATGGCTCTTGACAGAGAGACATGAAGGATACAGAGTTGGTGCTAGGAGGTGTAGGATGAGATGTAAAGAACACGATTCTGATGGTGGGGCTGATTTGAGAAAAATCACAGAGAAAAGACATTGCCAGAGATGATAGGGACTTAACTGAGGACGTAAAAGGAGTCTGAGCTGAGAGAACGAGAGGGTAGGGATGGCAATGTGTGATGAGGCAGCCAGTGAAAATTTTCACATCTTTTGCAGTTGCACCTGTTGCTGTGGTTGGTTCTGAACTCTGTGGTGAAATATAAAGATGTCTGGATTAAGAATTGAGTAGGCTTGGGTTTTCCCCCTAACTCTCTGTGTCCTCCTTACCCTAATTCTGAGGGAGCTGAGTGGTATAATGAATAGAGCTGTAGTCTTGGAGTTAAGAAGGTCTGAGTTCAAAATTGGTCTCAGACATTTCCTAACTGTGTGACCCTGGTCAAGTCTTTTAACCACTGTCTGCCTCAGTTTCCTCGACTGTAAAATGAGGATAATAATAGCACCTACCTCCAATTTGTGAGGATCAGTTAAGATATTTGTAAAGTGCTTATCAGAGTGCCTGATACTTAGTAGCACTTAATAAATGCTTGTTACCCCCTTTTCTCCTCTCTCCCCCAAAAACTTAAGTCTCCCTAGGCTTAAGTATTCTCATCTGTGAAATGAAGACAACACTACCTGCTTTATTTTCTACTGACATTGCAGGAACTAATCCTCAGCAATTAAATTCAACCAACATTTATTAAGCTTTACTTAAGTGCAAGGCATTGTACAAAGAAATAAATCATAATTATCTAGAAAGGCAGCTCAGTTACCTAGTTGATAGAGCTAGATTCTCATATTTTCTAGATAGATGCCTTTTGGTGTAGTAGTACCTGGAGAGCTGGTCCTATAGTCAGGAAGACCTAGTTGCAGAGGCCCTACTTCTGACATATACTGGCTGTGATTCTGGGTAATCCTCTAAGGCTATAAGTTGCAGAGAAAATGCTGACCTGCATCGTTTACTCACTAGGGAGTTTCCTATACCAGGGAAATCATAGGTCCAGTCCCTCTCCTTATCCCTAATGATAATAGCTAAGGTTTATATAGCACGGTAAGGTTTTGGAAGCCCTTTCCATATGTTACACATATAGGGAAAAACACCCTAGCTTTGACCCTGTCCTAAAGGACAGGAGCTAACAAATTGATGTCTGTGGAGTGTTGGGAGAGGATGAGACAGGTAACATAAATAGCCAGTTTCTAACTTGTATTATAGTTAAGTTCATAGCAGAAGTCAAACAATATCACCAGAGATTCAAGTGAAAGGGAGAGATTTGTTTTCAGCTTGGGAAATTGGTGAAAGCATTTGGGAGAAGT